AATTTATGTAGTGTTTATTGTTCATAGTTGCTGCCTGACTAGGTATGTAGTTCAAGTCTTTAAGAAAATTAGGTCCGGTCAGTACTAACATGTTCTACCTTGACATTCACAACTACAACTGCAAGAGGCAGCATTAAGTACACTTGTTGCAGAAGGCCTCTGCTCAGGACCAGTCAATTTCTTAGCAATTTCCTCACAAGGTGCATATGATTAATCTTCTCTTTTTTCATTTGATTTACCATGGTCTTCCGTCATCAGAAAAAGAGGACGGCTAGTGGATAAATAATTTTGGGAATTCGAGAAATGTTTGCTCATTTTAGCAAATTTATTTTGTTCTGCTGCTTGGTCAAGTTTTAGAAAACAAAATAAACATTTCCAAAAAAAATAAGAACCAACAGCTTGAAAGTTGTTTTTGGTGAAAACAACTATTGTAACTTCGGAAAAGGGTCAAATATGTTCCTGTATTATTGAAAAAGGTTTAAATATCCTTCGTTATACTATTTGGTCATCTCAATCCCTATCGTTATACTATCATTCAAATATACCCCTTAATTGGATGGATGACCACGTGTTTTCATAGGATTAAAATGACCCATCCCTTTTTTTTACCTGCTTTACCCATAACCCGACCCAAAGTCATCCCCTTTGACAAAGAACCCCTAAATGATAGATTTGAGCAAATACTTCAATTCCAACTCAAATGAAAAACCCGTTGAGGAAAAGCCAGCTTTTGAAAAATCCTGCCGCCGAGAAATCATCAATGGCTGGAAAGAAAATTCCCAAGGATGGCTCCGCCGTTGCCAGGGACAAGAAGAAGAGGGCAAAAAAAATCAGTTGAGACTTACAAGATCTACATCTTCAAAGTTTTGAAGCGGGTTCATCTCGATATCTCAAGTAAAGCCATGGGTATCATGAACAGTTTCATAACGATATTTTTGAATAGCTTGCTCAGCTCAAGAATCTTCTAGATTGGCTAGGTACAACAAAAAGCCTACAATTACTGTTGTGAGACTTGTGCTTCTTGGTGAATGCTAAGCATGCTGTCTCGGCTATAATTTTAATTAGGATTTGTTGATGTAAAGAAGAAAGATTGGTTAGCTGTTGGTTTAATGTTTTGCAGTTCTGCATTTGCAACGATTTTCCCTTGTGTTAATTGTGAAGTATGAGAGAGAAATACTTGTATTTCAAAGTAACCCCAGGAACATGGAAGATTTGAGCAAATACTTGCTCAATTTCTTCTCAAAAGCTTGCATATTATTTTGGACTAAACACCTATCTCCTAATTTGTCTGATCCAAACAGGCATTCGCTCCCACCTATGTCACCTAGAAGCACAAAGCATGATTCTTCATATCATGAATCCTCTGTCTATCCTTCACTGTTTTTTTTCCTCAAAGGAGGTGAACGGTTTATGGGTAGAGGCTAAACGAAGTGCGTAAAAAAATGGGATGGGTCATTTTAGTCCGGTGAGGGCACGTGGCAATTTGTCCAATTAAGGGGTATATTTGAATGATAGTATCACGGTAGGGGCTGAGATGACCAAATAATATAACGGAAGATAATTTTAAACCTTTTTCGATAGTATAGGGATATATTTGACCCTTTTCCGTTATAACTTTAAGAACACTAGCAGATGTGTTTTAGCTTTTCGTAAAATTATCCACCAGGTATTGGACGAGACAGGCCCAAACACTAGGAGTTGGAAGGAAGTGTAAAAATTGTACGAGGCGCCTTATTTGGTCGCCCCCATTTAACCTATACCCATTTTTTTTAAAAAGTTTTAACCTGTACCCACTTTTTAAACAACTTCGGCCCTCTTTCTCCTCTTTCGTTTTTTTTTTCTTCTTCTTCTATAGTGATACATCTGAGAGAAGCCAAGAATATTGAAAAATGGAGCAACAAAGACAAAATGATCTTTACCAGTATGATCAGATCCCATTTTTTGTTGATTCGAAGTTGAATTGCTATAGCAAATTACTTCATCTGACTAGTTATCTAACTTTTGGGGAAATAAAAAGACAAGCTATCTGATTTTACATATTTACTTAACATTTTTTCTGATTCAGAACTTCACTCCTGGCGTAGTCATCCAGTATTTGCATTTATACCTTAAGACGCAAATTTAAATATTAAGAGCAGTAAAAATTGAATGAGGCAAGTCCTGTTCTGTGTCATTTATCTTATTATGGCTCAATTTGGAGGCCCTAACCCAGGTGGTTTAGTTTATTGTTGGAGGATCATCTCTAGTGATGTGGTGTTTTTGCTATGGTGCTGATATCGTCTGATGTGGTGACTTTCTCCATTTGACCTTGTACATGCAGATAATAGGAATTGTTATCCCATATACATCAGACAAACACCATTAGCAACTGGATCTTAATGACAACTTGTCATTGTTGTTTTAGAGCTTCAGCTCTAAAAATGCTGAAGTTCAGCAAATATAGAACAAAGCTTTAGCTAAAACATGCTGAAGTTCAGCAAATAGAGAACAAAACTTCAGCTACTAGAATGCTTAAGTTCAGCAATTACAAACAAAAACTTCAGCAAATAAAGAACAAAACTTCAGCTACTAGAATGCTTAAGTTCAACAATTACAAACAAAAACTTCAGCAAATAGAGAACAAAACTTCAGCTACTAGAATGCTTAAGTTCATCAATTACAAACAAAAACTTCAGCCCAAAACTTGGTTCAACAATTTTTGCTACTTCAGGCCCGTCTACTAGAATGCTGAAGTTTGCGTGATTGCCTTTGCTACTTCAGGCTCGTATGCCTGAAGTTACGCGAAAAGTGGGTACACTTGCAATTTTTTTTACAAAGCAGATATAAATTAAAACGTGATCCAAAAAACGGGTATAGATGTAAATGGCCCGAAGGAAGTAGGTAAACACTTTGATGTTGTCTAGACAGGTTAACTCTTGGAGTTGTAATGATATATGTGTGTTTATTTTGACTTGTATCGATCGAGTAGCGTTTTATTGGAAATTTAAATTATATATCGATGAAGCTGAAAGTTTGATCATACGCAATAACCCAATAATATGACAATTACTCTTCCGTTTTTATTTACTTGTTATGTTAGTTTTTACATATCCTTTATCTCTTTAATAATCACTTTATTAATGCTAAAGATAAAATTGAAAAATTAATAAGTTTTTTGTTTTTGTTTTCTAAAATGACAAGTACTTTGGCTATTTAAGCAAACATGACAATTAAATAGGAACAAATTTATCAATATATCATGCATACCGACCATAAATAGAACTTTTATATTCTTAAACGACTGTCACCGGGAAAACTAGAGGTAGTTTACTTTTACAGATGATTGCTGCACCAAACTAGATCTGTAATCATCTGCACCAAAGTTGTTATACTATTTATTTAACGACATAATGATTCAATTTTGCTATAATTAATTAAGTTACATAGAAACATGACTTTTTTTTTACACCCTCAGTATATGCAAGTGAAATCCTTTATAAATAGAGGGAATATATATACATTCCTGATTCCACTAGTGGGGTTTGGGGAGGGTAATATGTACGCAGACCTTACCCCTACCTCGATGGAGTAGAGAGGCTGTTTTAGAAAGACACTCGGCTCAAGAAAACGAAAAGAGACAATATTAGTACCACCAATAGAAACCATAGGAAAAATAACAGAGAAAGTAGATGCAAAGCAAAAGTGATAAACAATACATAGACTCGGCATTATGGAAAACAAAAGAGTAGTAAGATACAACATTGCCACTAGCTGACATCGACAAAAGTCCTATCAGACTAGCCTCACAAAGGTACGAAGTAAGGGAAGACTCAACTACCTCCTAACCTACAATCCTAATACTCGACCTCCACAACTTCCTCTGTATAAATATATATATATATATATATATATATATATGTATATATATATATATATATGTATATATATAAATATTTGGACCACAAGTTTATAGCAGCTAGCAGTGGGGTGTTGCTTCTTATGCATTTCTCAATGAACACCTTTCAGCAACAAACAAAAATACCTAAAGAATTCATTTACCCAAAGGAAGATCAAATACAAGCAGAAGAAGAGCTAACTGAGCCAGTAATAGATCTAGGGGGTTTCTTTATAGGTAATAATTCAGTGGCAACACAACAACATGTGGCCATGCTTGTTAAAGCAGCTTGCTTGAACCATGGATTTTTTCAAGTTATAAACCATGGAGTTGATTCTCAACTAATTAACATGGCTCATTCTCATGTCAATTCTTTCTTTAAGCTTCCCTTAGGAGTAAAATTAAAGGCTCGGAAAGAACGTGGAAATTTGTGGGGTTATTCCAGTGCCCATGCAGAGAGATTTTGTTCAAAGTTGCCATGGAAGGAAACCTTATCCTTCAATTTTCATGAAAACAACAATCAGAGTGGTATTGTTGTTGATTTCTTTGAATCCGCCTATGGAAAAGAATTTGAAGAAATGGGGTATGTTTTCTCTTATATTTCTGGTAATGCATATACAGTATGTATACTTGATAATATATCAAATAATTATAATTTTTGTTATTAAAGATATAATTGACAAAGATTAAAAAAAAATGGTATGATAAGTTGAAGGAGGAAAAACTCAACGGACTTAATTTATAAAAATTGACAGTGAACGGATTTTTTTTTTGTAAAAATTGTACAAGCACACTATTTGGTCGTCCCTATTTAACTTGTACCTACTTTTTATTTTTTTATTTGTACCCACAGTTTAAACAACTTCTTCTTCTTTCGAGTAATAATGATTTTATATGGTATTTGTGAACATATTTTAAGGTAGTTTATGATGCTTTACGGTGGCGAGTTGTTGTGGTGCTTTATTTTTATTATTGTTTAGTTTTTTTTTCCTTAATTGCAAAATGAATTCGTTAGATTTATTGTTGTTTTGACAAATTGATGATTAGAGTTTGTTCTTAATGATATTTGGAGGTTATGTTTCAAATTTGAGTTCATTTGGAGTAGATTTAGGTATTAAATCGTATATTGAATTGTTAAAATTCAAAAACCAAATTTCTGTTTCTGGGCAATTTGCGCTTTAGGCCTATTTGGCCTTAAGTAATGAAAACGTTGGTTGCACTTCAGACCTTAAGTGCATGTGAAGTTTAATTTTTCACTTCAGACTTATTGACCTTAAGTGTAGGGAAACGTTTGTTGCGCTTCAGACCTTTTGGCCTTAAGTACATGTGAAGTGCAGTTTTTCATTTTAAACTTATTGGCCTTAAGTGCATGAAACTATTGGTTACACTTCAGACCTATTTGGCCTTAAGTGCATCTAAAGTGCAATTTTTTTTTTTTAACTTCAAACTAATTTTTTTTAACTTTAGACTTGATAAGTCTGAAGTTGATCGTAAAGTGGGTAGGTTTGCAATTTTTTTTGCAAAGTGGATATATATTCAACTGTGATCCCAAAATCGGGTATAGATGCAAAAGCCCCTTTTGTATAATTTCAAGTATTTTAGCCCATTATGAATGGCTTTACTTGTACTTTTCCAGTAGATGAACTGATTTTATATTAAATTTTCAGCTTAAATCCAATAAAGTTAAAGATACTATATAGAGTATTATTTTTACAGATTGGTGTTTGAGAGATACTGCAAGGCAATGAAGAGGGTAGGACTTGTAATAATGGAGATACTAGGAATGAGCCTAGGGGTAGAAAAATCGTACTACAAAGAGTTTTTCAGAGATACAAGTTCCATCATGAGATGTAATTATTATCCAACTTGTCAAGACCCTGATTTAGCCCTTGGAACTGCACCTCACTCTGATCCTAACTCTTTGACAATACTTCATCAAGACCAAGTTGGAGGCTTGGAGGTTTTTGTGGATAGCAAATGGAAGTCAGTGCGACCTAGGCCTGATGCACTTGTCATCAACATCGGGGACACATTTACGGTGAGTATAGTATATATATTTTACTGGGTTTACGTTTTATGTGCTAGCATTCGTAACAAGTGAAAGTCAGTGCGACCTAGGCCTGATGAACTTGCCTTGAGACATGTTTGCAGTGAGTCCGATATATATTTTATCGCAAGTACTAGAAATCAGTGCGACCTAGGCCTAGTGCATTTGTCAACATATNATATATATATATGTATATATATATATATATTTTACTAACTTTAAGTTTTATGCACGGTAGCACCAACAAAGTTGTGACATTACGCTTTGGTTTTTTTTCTTCTTTCTTTCTCATATAGTTAAAAGCAACATAATATATTAGGTTAAGTTACATATTTCATAAAGAAGAATTTATAATATGCCAATCTCTTGATAAATCAAATTCAAAGGATGGAAATCTATACAAGTTTCGTACCGAGCATTAGATATTGCCCTTGTGGCATTTCCTCTGATAAAATTTATTCAACAATATATATTTTGAAGTTTCCTAACAATTTTATAAATAATAAATTGCAGTAGACTAAGGACTAAGGAGTCAGGTGGGGTCATGAAAATCATTAATATTAGAGCTTTCCGCCTTTCTACTATATCTGAATATATATATTTCTAGTCACAATTTTCACTATTTTCTTTTTCGATTTTCGCTTATAGTCATATAGTTAAAGAAGTTAGTCCTTTTCTTTTGTTGGTCCACTTTTCTGTCATAAAGCAACGTTTCCTTTGCTTTCTTCTGCGTCGAATAAGTTTCACAAGGATATTTTACAAACTTTTTAACTATAAGGTAACTAATTTGTCATCTAGTTCACAAACTTTGTTTTACGTATGCTATGGCAGTTGGCAAGTGAATGCTTTAACTATTTTAATTAAGAAAACATCAGCATATTATTTAAACAATCAGCGATTTCCAGATTACTAGAATATTTGTAAAAGTTAGGTTAAGATGGCAGCTATATATAGTTTGTGATTTCTCATAAAATAAAGGAGTAGGAGATAGAGGCTATTTGATAAATACGACATGTGAACGTTACACTTTGACAAATCTTTGTAAAATTAAATCATACCTTTAAACACGAACAAAATAGAAACACAACAATGATAGAGGACAAGCTAGCGTCATAAATCTTAAGCTTGCAACTGATCGGGCAGAGCTAGAGTATAGCTTAATAACTTAGAAATGAGAACCCATAAGCTTCAAATTTATTTGGATGTTGCTCATGGCTTCAAAATGCAGGCACTGTCAAATGGGATATACAAAAGTTGCGTGCACAGAGCAATAGTAAACAGACAACATGAGAGAATATCGTTGGCGTTTTTCTTGAGCCCAAAGGAAGACAAAGTGATAATACCCCCACAGCATCTTATCTCCAGAAACCAGCCAAGAATGTACCCAGACTTCACATGGTTTGATTTCCTCAATTTCACTCAGAACCACTACAGAGCTGATCATGCTACCCTCCAAAACTTTACTCTTTCCTTCCTTTCTTCCAAACCGATCGACATAGCAAAAAACAAAACATAAACTAGTTTTTGGCCGATTCTTTGTATGCAAGTAGAAAATATATGAAACATGATGTGATTCATAAAACCGAAACCAACTTATTCGGCATATCTGTCGTATATTGTAATTTTTGTCATATTTATCGCATAGTGTTGGATTCGTATCCATCTATTTTGTAATTTTATATTTAACCTACATTTGATCTGATTTGGCAAATTTAGTCTAATTAAATAGAATCAATTAGCCCTTACGCCTCTATTAGCGTGTTACAGGCCACCAATTTCTCTAGAGTTTACAAACTAAATTGAAGTTAAGCACATAATAAGTGAATTAATCTCACTGAATATCCCATCCCAAAGAGTTCAAATGCAATACAACGAGCTCAACAAATTGAGAGGGTCACATGTGCAAAAATAGTTAGTTAGCTAAATGTTGAGCATATTAACTGTGACAGTGAAGCGTAAGAATCCGTTTGGCTTAGGTAATTATTAGCATCGATTGCTTAAAAAACATTTTTATTTGCTGAAAAAACATGTTTGGATAGAAAATATTAAAGCAGGTAATGAGCAGTTAATGTTGTATTGGGAAAAATTAAGTTAACATTTGATATTAATTAAGTGCTGACACGTCAAGACACGTGGATCAATAACGTAATGACAGTTGGCAAATAATAGTCGAAGAGGCACGAACCTTAACAAACATGAGTAAAGATTCAAGAAAACAGGAAGGAACGGTTACTCAGACTTCTTGATAATTCAAAGAGACACCGGAGGAATGAACCTAAATAGCAAAAAGTACAGATACATATTATCCGTAATTAATGAGCATCAATGATAGAAAACTTTATAGAATCTTCACAAGACAGTTACGATTGCCAATTATAACGTTACATTAATGTCATTAACTGCTCATAATGACTCTGTTATGAGAGGAAAACAACGTATTATATAGAAATAACTATAAAAGGAGAGAGATAACATTTGTAAGGGACAGAAGATTATTGGAATACACTGATTTACTTTGTTTTCTTTTACTTATTCAGCTATCGTTTAAGTCAATTCTTCTTATTTATTCTATATTTGATTATCAGCATGTTATTGATTTTCTAAATTTAGAAAAGAATCTGATAATCCTCTGTTTTCTAAATCGATTCTTTATCGAAAACAATCATGTCGAATGCCAATGACAATAACCAACAAACTTTACCACTCCAAGGAGATCCACAACATCAGCTAAACCAATAAGGTGACAGAACTCCACCCCTTTCGCCACAACATTCTCCTCGACAATCACGAGAGGGGACTCCTGACAGATCTGAATCAAATGAAAATGATCAAGCTATCGATGAAGCTTTGAAGAAATTAATCGCTCAATAAGTCAGCAATGTTCTTCAGACTTTTACCAGCCAGTTGCCGGTTGTACCGCCAACACCAACTCCAAACAACAACACCCTGGAAAATCCTCGCTCAGGACTTGTTAATTCAGGCACAGTGGCGGAGTTTCCAACGAATCTCGTGATGGAGAGCCAGGTAACCCAGTTAATTCTAATTTACAAAATTTAGTACTAACTTTGCAGAAACAACTCAAGGAACAAAGTGACCGCATAAAGCAAATACCTGGAGTGCCGCTTGTGATCAAGGGAATAGATATGGACAAATATTCACAACAATCTTGGAAGCCAAGTGCTGCTCCTCTACCAATTTCGAAGAAATTCAAGATGCCCGATATTCCAAAATATGATGGAACAACTGATCCACGGGATCACGTGACTGCATTCACAACTGGTGTAAAGGGCTAAGGCTTGACCAAGCAAGAAATTGAATCAATATTGGTAAAAAAATTCGGCGAAACACTCACTAAGGGAGCATTAACATGGTACTCTCTTTTACCTGAAAATTCTATAGATTCTTTTGTTAAGCTTGCAGATTCATTTATCAAAGCACACTCGGGAGCTCAAAATTTGAAAAAAGAATGGAGGATATTTTCAAAATAAAACAAGGAGATATGGAGCTTCTCAGGGAATTCGTAGACAGATTCCAGGATGATGTTGCCACGTGTACCTAATAATTGGGCGGCTATGACATTTGCTAGTAATCTAAATGAAAAAGTTCAGAAGCCACGAGGAGACTCAAGGAAAGTCTACGAGAATTTTCAGCAATAACTTGGAATGATGTTTATAACAGGTACAACACGAAGCTGCGGATAGAAGAGGATACCATCACTCAGTCTCAAAAGGAGGAAAGGGTAAGTTCAAGACGAGATGAAACTGAAAAAAGGTCTGGTAAAAATAGGCACGAGCCTTACATGGGACCAGCAGGAAGGGACTCACGTTCAAAACAAGAAAACCTGAGGGACGATCATAGGTCATGAGATAGAGAGTCAGGTTCATCATCAAGGTTCGGAAAAGAACGAAACATGCGAGAGACACAAGATGATGATAGAAGCTCGAAGGCAAAGATCGGTGGTTACAGTTTTAATGTTAGCACATCCGAGTTGGTGGTTGTTTTAAGGAGAATGAGAGATAAGGTACGGTGGCCAAAGGAAATGAGATCAAACCCGAACAGACGAAATCCAGATTTTTGGTGTGAGTTTCACAATTATCACGGTCACAAAATGGCAGATTGTAGATTGCTGCAAGGTGAAGTTGAACATTTATTAAAACAAGGGTATTTAACCGAATTGTTTAGTGAAAAGGGAAAGCAAGCATATATGAAGAATAGGCAGGAGCCCTCAAAACCTCCTTCGCCAAAAAGGACAGTTAATGTCATAAGTGGAGGAGAAGAGATCAATGGCGTAACATATACAACATCTAAGAAAGTGTCAAAAATAACAGTTGCACACGGGAAGCGAGTTCGACAAGTTTTGGAAGAAGATAGTATTACATTTGATGATACAGATACAGATGGCATGCTAATCCTGCATAATGATGCACGGTTATATCGTTACTTATACATGACACTAATGTAAAATGAGTTTTGATTGATCCAGGTAGTTCCGTGAATATCATTCTGTTAAGAGTGGTAAACGAGATGCAAGATGATACCCAAGGCACACACCTTGTCTGGTTTTGACAACTCGAGTATCGTAACAAAAGGGGAGACAATACTCACCACATTCGCAGAAGAAGTGGTCAAATATACAAAATTTCAGGTGGTAGAAATGGATATGGCCTACAATATGATTCTTGGCAGACCATGGATTCACAAAATGGGCGATGTTCCATCTACCTTGCATCAAGTTATCAAATTCCCATCACAATGAGGGATACGACAAATCCGTGGTGACCAACAAAGCTTCACGAAGCATTAATTTTGTGGCAGATTCAAATGCAAAAAGTGACAAAAAATAGCAACCACGGAATGCATTTGAGGACACATCAACACAAACCTCAACTGAAGATAGGGAAACATATGTGGATTCGAGGCTCAATACTATTCAGAAACTAGAGGAAAATGAAAATATCAAAACAACGATCGAGGAACTAGAAGCTGTAGTGCTATTTGAACATTGGCTAGACAGAAAAGTCTACATTGGAACCAACCTCAGCCCGAAAATGAAACGTAAGTTGATTGAATTTTAAACGCTAACGTAAATTGTTTTGCTTGGTCCTATTCATATATGACAGGTATACCACCGGAGGTAATGACCCACAAATTAAATAAAGATCCGCCGTACCCACCTGTCAAACAAAAGAAAAGGAAGCAAGGCTCCTTCAAGAACTAGGTGATTCAAGATGAGGTGCAAAAACTTTTAAAAATTAGGTCCATCCGTGAGGTAAAGTATCCGGATTGGTTGTCTAATACTGTGGTAGTACCTAAAAAGAATGGTAAGTGGAGAGTTTGTGTAGATTATACTGATCTAAATAAAGCTTGCTCTAAAGATTCTTTTCCATTACAGCACATAGATCAACTAATTGACGCTACTGCAGGGCATGGATTGTTATGTTTTTTAGATGCCTATTCAGGATATAATCAGATTAAAATGGATCCTCTAGATGAAGAAAAGACTTCCTTCATCACAGATAGGGGGACTTACTGTTACAAAGCCATGCCATTCGGTTTAAAGAATGCTGGGGCCACATATCAAACACTGGTGACAAAAATGTTCCAAGAACACTTGGGCAAAATCATCGAAGTGTATATAGACTCTATGTTGGTTAAATCACAACAAACATGAGACCACATTCAACACCTGACTGAAATATTTCAGATTCTTCGCAAAATTAATATGAAGTTAAATCCTGAAAAATGTGCATTTGGCGTTTCATCAGGTAAGTTATTGGGAATTCTTATTTCTAACTGTGACATTAAAGTAAATCCTTCACAGATTAAAGCTATTGAAGAAATTCTGGAAATACTCACGAGCAAAAAAGAAGTACAAAGGCTAACATGAAGAATAACATCCCTGGGTAGGTTTATTTCCAAGTCATTAGAAAAGTGCTTCAAATTCTTTTCAACTATAAAGAAGCAAAACCAATTTGAATGGTCTGAAGAGTTTTAACAAGCGCTTAAAAATTTAAAGGCGTACCTGTCAAATCCGCCACTGCTAGCTAAACCAAAAGATGGGGAGAAATTGCTTGTATACCTTGCAGTTTCAGAAGTGGCCGTAAGTGCCGTATTAGTTTGAGAAGATCAATGTAAGCAATCACCGATTTATTATGTTAGCAAATCTTTTGCTCGATGCTGAGACTCGATATCCTCATTTAGAGAAACTTGCATTAGTTTTGATTATGCCATCTAGGAAATTAAGACCTTATTTCCAATGTCATCCTATTTTCGTGATAACTGCCTACCTCTTACGTAATATATTGCATAAACAAGAGTTATCAGGTAGATTAGCCAAATGAGATATAGAACTAAGTGAATATGACATTACATATCAACCTAGAATTGCAATAAAGTCGCATGTTTTAGCAGATTTCGTGGCAGATTTTAGCCAAGGGATATAGTTAGAAGCAGAAAAAGAACTGCAGATATTTAACGGATCTAATCCAGGTACATGGACCTTATTTACTGATGGTTCGTCAAATGTAAAAGGAGCAGGTATGCGCATTGTCCTAGTACCATCTACGGGTGAAACCATAAGACAAGCAATAAAGTGCCATTCAATCACTAATAATGAGGCAGAATATGGAGCTATGCTTGCAGGTTTAGAGTTGG